AGCTTGCTATTATAAAAAAAAAATAGTGAATTATGAAACTATTTTTAAATTACCTCGCAAAAAATTGACATTTATTTATGGGGAATAAAAAACAATTTCAATCAAAAAAGCTCTTATGTTTTGGGTTCATGAAGATCGATTTCCCAGCCATTACCTTAATTATAGTCAGAAAGTTTGTACACATGAGCGGCTTATCGCGCTCACATCGACGACCTGTGGCAATTAGCTGTCGGTAGCGGCTCGCGGCTTATCTCCGCTGATAATCGTACACTCTAATAGCTTGTATCGCCTCCAAAATACTACTGATATAAATTATCAAGATTAATTTCTAATTACGACCGCAATAAAAAAATTACAGATTTTGGATAAAAAAATTACATGATGCCCCTTGTGGCATACTAAGATAACATTGTTGAGTAAAATGAAATACTGAAAAATAAATTCTAAATGAGATACACATGCTGTTACCCCACAAGCAACATTCTTGGGGTTGCATAGTGTAATCTTTTGTACAAAAAATGTATCTCACTGATTAATTGCGCTGTATACAAGTAAATTCGATTTTTTTTTTCTAACTTTTAACTAATTAAACACAGTTTGATATCACATAGTGCAAAACTGCCAACACTTCTTTATTAACAACATCCTCAATTACATGAGTTCAGTAATATCATGTGTCGTGTGTTTTGTGTACACAGCATAAAGGCATACCAAATGGTACAAACGTAATATGTGGACTTGTGGGCCTCATATTACTATATTACATGATTTATATCAGAAAATTAAATTACAGAAGCAAAACGGCAAGACTATGTAACTAGTAGGTAATATAGAGAAAGAAAGAAAGAAAGAAAGAAAGAAATCAGTTTATTCAATAAATGAAAAGGAATTCATTCGGCATGTGCTCGGTGTACACCGAAGCGCCGGTTTTCAATGATTCCTAAAAACAGAACACGCAGTTTTACAAAATAGTAGAAGAAAAATAAAACACATGTACTTAATGTTACACTCGGTCACAACTAGAAAACTTAATCTAAATCTAAATCTATGGCGAAAACTAGAGCAAATATATATGTGAAAATATTGCCTTACTTCTAATACATTATGTATAAAACCAGTGAAATGAAGTTTGTTAAACTAGCTGTTGATTACCAACTGGTTTATTTAAATTCAAGTAACCTTTCACAAAACATACATTTTTCGGCGCCTTTCTACACAGAACAGATGTTCTAAATATTGGCCATTATATGGAAAAATTATGTAATGACTAGTTGTGGCCCACAACTATGTTTACACTGAATGAAAGAAAAACTTAATAATTTGGCTATGTCTTCAACCAGATTATATTCTGCAACTATGTCAAAATTCATTGAGATACCTTGAACCATTCCGGAGATACGTAAAAACAAACATCCATCCATCCTTTCAAATTTATAATATTACAAAATGAATTATGATGCAAATGTGAACATACTTATCTTTTCAAAGTATTGAGTGCTGTGAAGATACTTGTAGAGGATGTAGCCGGGCACCAGGATGGTGGAGTAGCCCACCAAGTTCAGTAACAACCGGAAACACCTGCACCAAAATATTTCTTATTCATATGCGTTTACATTGTCTTAACATTTGCATGAAATAAAGCCTAGAGGAGTCTAAAGAATAGATCCAGCAAAAATTATACCAGTGAAATATATGCTACTAGATATAACTTTTCTAGAACATGAAATCATAATAATTAATGACAATAATGGGATACCAACCATGAGTAGTCACTGTCTATGAGCACTTCTGTCTGCTCGTAGTAGTTGAGCAGCTCCTGGTAGAGGTTGCTGCACACCCATGACAGCGCCACGCAACACACCAGCACGGATCTGAGGTCAGTTTATCACTGTACTTAATATCAAGTTTTCAACATTAAGCAACAACGCTAAACTAATAAAAATAATAGAATTTCTAATATACATTATTGTAATTGACGACATTCACTCACCCAATAACCAGTCTTGTCCGCATTTTGTATTATAGCTATAAATAAAGATCTAATAAATACTGCTTGATATGTAGTTTTGATTATTTTTTATTTAATTTACTTAAAAATAGGCATATCCAAAGATGTTATTCTCCGACACCATCACATGTTTTACTGTCACTGTCAACTGCTGTTGTCAGATCCAAATGTCATCAATGACAGCTTTTAGTTTTTTTTGTACTGGTGTTATCGAGCAAACGGGAACGTAAAGCCAAGTTAATGGCATAAAATTATTCAACTTAATAAAGTTAAAATATAAAATTCTCTATTTTAAGGTCATAAAATAACCTATTAAATCATAATTTAAAAAAAAATCATTATACTGGATAAAATAACGCATCACTTTAATACTTGAAGATGGAAAACTCTCAACAAATTCACAAATCCAGATCTTTTATAAAATTGCAATTGACACTAATTTTTTAACTTATCTATGTGATATCGAACAAATATTTATGATCATTTATGATTGTATTTTTAATATTCACGTTTTTCTCATTTTTATTTTAGACAAGTATTGAATTGAAAAAAAGTTGTGCATTTTACTAATTAAACACAGAATCGATAGATATTTCAAAAAAATGTATTTGTTCAGAAATCTATATCACACATTAAAGCAAAAATGATGTGGCAAGACGCTGTGATGCTTCTACTGGAATTTTTAGCTGCGGTTTGTGCTGTAGCTCTGTGTGGCCCGTGTTTGTTGGCGTGCGCCAGGAGGCTGATCCTCGGGGATGAGCTGCTGCAGCGAGGTGGCCACGTGGTGCATGAGGCGGAGGTGCTGGGCTGCGACGAGCCCGCCTGCCCCTACTACAAAAAGAATATACGATATTTGATGGTGCCAGCGGCGAGAAGGCGACAATATGGTTCGCCTTCTCGGTCATGAACTTAACTTTTCCTTGATTGTTAATAACTGTATAATAAAAAAGTTATGTATTGTCTCTCTTCAAAATGTTTTATTCGCTGGTGCATTTGCAACACCCAATACGAATGAAATAACATGTAGCGAATGTGTTAAGTTACAAACTAAGTCAAAATACATATTCCCTGTCAACCCAGTTGAGTACCATAATACACGCATAAAAACTTCAATAGATTGGAAAATATTTAGCAGTGGGTTCATGTTGCCGAAATTGTTTCGTATAAATCCACATAAATAGGTAAAGACACAAAAAAACAGTTCACAAATAAACATTAGTATTCTATTCACAGGAATAAATAAAAGCCATAGATAGACAAGTTTTACTTTTTATTTAACAAAATACGGGTGTGGTGCGTTCAAAGCTTTGTATGCGATTGAAACGTCATGTCTGCGCGGTGTAAGTGTGGACGCGAGGCTGCTGGCCGATGGGCTCGTTGTCC